CAACTGACTTTGCTCTTATTTTGACACAAAGGTTTTCCTATTTCTATAAACTCTGCAAACAGATATGCTTGCTCGGCTTGTGAAATAAACACAGCCACCTTGGAGCGGGAGAATGCGTCCCACAGTGTCCACTTCACCATCGTGAGACTACCTGACTTCCCTGAGGCTGACATATAGCTGTTCACCAAATATCTGGATGTTCTTGGTTACATAATAGTTCACTGCTTTATTTAACCCGTAGGTAAAAGAGAATTAAAGATTAACTGACAGGTGAAATTTACTAGAAGTACACAGAAGCCTCTAGAAGGGGCCTTAATTAAACTAACATTTTTGTAGTCTCCCTTTAACCCACTCCCCCACCAGCCCCTCACCATTCTGGAAAAGCAATATTTTCTTTAGATAAGAAATGGCAGGTTCTAAAGATTTCCTGATGTGTTTATTGGGCAGGCAAGGCCAAAAACGAAAGGCTTATGAAGTGGTAATTGTAAAGAAACTATTTCATAGCAATAAACTGCTAATCAATTGTAATAGCAGGAAATAATACATAATTAAAATGCCATATATCTTTTGATTATAGTTATTGAGATATATTAACGAGCAGTATTTCTCAGACCTGTCTGTCTTCTATGTGACTTTAGAGAATATATTTGATAAACTAGGTTGTTGTAGAGAAATTCCCTCACCTTGTATTATACAAAAGACACTCTGGCTATTTGTGTGTCAACTAAGTGGCTTCAATACTGCCACAAACCAGACAAGTGGTTCGTTTACTTTCGTGGAGTTGTTCAATGATATTTTACTACTTGTTAAATTCAATATTGAGAGCCTTTTTCTTAAATTGAGTAATATTCTATTTCATTTATTACCTTCATTTGTTGGATTTTCCATCTGACTCTTTTACCAGATCTTATCAGTGGATGTAAAGCTAGAAAATTATAATCATTGTCTACTGTTTTGCAAACAAAACGTCCGCAAATATGGGTTTGACATAAAAATTATAACATTTGCTAAGATAATTTCTAACAGCCCTGACTAGAATTGGCACCTATGCTTTCTTCTCACAGCTTTTAACTGTGCTTGTCTTCATCTGTTCAAAACAGGACTCTGCCAGCTGCCAGCTGCAGTGCCCTGGCTTCAACTTGGAAGAATAGCTATTACTTGGCTTATGCGCTCTTTAGTTCATTTTTTTTTTTTCACATAGGAAAAGGATGAGACCTGATCAGAACAGCACTTATGAAAGATTCTCCACTAGCATTTCACCAAAAATTGCAGGGCTCTTGTGAACTGGGGATAGTGGATATCTGAACACATAAAGCCCTAGAACTTGTTTTTTCATTGAGGTGAAGCATATAGGACATAAAATCTGCCATTTTAACAATTTAAAATGCACAATTCAATGGCATTGAGCATATTCACAATGCTGTGCAACCATCATAACAGATATTTCCTTTTTTTCCCCCCCAAACAGAAATAAACATTCTCATTCATCCTTCCTCCAGTACCTGGTAGCACAGAATACTTTCTGTCTCTGTGAATTTGCCTATTCTAGAAATTTTATATATGCAGAGTCACAGAATGTCAATTCTCTTGTGTTTGGTTTATTTCAGGGTTCACCCACATCACAGCATGTATTCGAACTTTATTCCTTTTTGTGGCTGTATGATATTCCATTGTATAATGAGAGCGTTTTGTTCACCCGAGCATCCATCAGTGAACTCTTGGGTTGTTTTTACCTGTTAGCAGTGAACAATGCTGCTTTCAACCCTGTGTACCAGTTATCTGTTTGAAGTCTTGTTTCATTTCTTTTGGGTACATACGAAAGGAGTAGAATTGCTGGTCATATGGTAATTCTGTTTTCTTTTTGAATGTCTTCTAAAGGTCTTCTACAGAAGCCACATCATTTTATATTCCCCCTAGCAATGCACCAGAGTCCCAATTTCTCCACATCCTTGCCAACATTTGAGTGTAGAGTGGTAGTATCTATTAGCATATAGAAATATCTATTGAAGTCATTTGTCCATTTTTAAATTTGATTCTCTCTCTGTTGAGATGCCAGATCCAAGGACATGGAGATTTGTCCCTGTTTTCTTTTATGTAAATGTTGTAATTTTAGCTCCTTATTTTAGATCTTTGGTCCACTTTGAGTTAATTTTTTTTTAAAGATTTATTTATTTATTTATACAAGCACTGGGTACAGTCAGAAGCACGGGAGGGTGAGAGAATTCACCAGAGCCAGAGGGGGAGCAGAGCAGGCAGAAGGACCGAAGTACACTGCTGAGGGGAGCAGCGGGTGGCAGGAGAGGTCTGCGTGCCATGGGGGACCCTCCTCCAGTGGCTGGGGAGCAGCTGGGGATCGAATCTGCGCTGCAGAGGTTGCGGGCAGCTTCGCAACCCAGTGCTCAACCGCTGCGCCACCGGGGAGGCCCTACTTTGAGTTAATTTTTGTAGATAATGTAAGGCAAGACTGAATTTCATTCTTGTGCATGTCAATATTGTTGTTTTAGCACCATGTACCAAAGAGACTACTTTGTTCACATTGTATGGTCTTGGTGCTGTTGTCAAAATTCAAATGATCATCAATGTGAGAGTTTATTTTAAGCTCTCAATTTAATTCCAAAGGTCTGTGTATCTATCCTTATGCCCATATTATGCTGTTTGATTACTGTAGCTTGGTAGTTAAGTTCTGAAATCTGAAAAGGTAACTTCTCAAATTCTATTTTTTTGGGGGATTGTTTAAGCTATTCTGGGCCCCTTGAAATTTGATAGGAAGTTTAGGTGAGTTTTTCTGTGCAAAAAATGGTACTGCTATTTTGACAGGGATTGCACTGAATCTGCACACTACTTTAGGTAGTACTGTCATGTTACTATTAAATCCTCTGATCATGAACATAGAATGTTTTTCCATGTCAACATATAAGCCACGTTTTATACTTTTTAGTGTACAAGTCTCACTCCTTAGTTGTTTCCTCAGTATTTTATTCTTTTGGATGTTAGTGTAACTGGAACTGCTTTATTTCCTGTTTGGAATTTTCACTGTTAGTGTATAAAATGGATTTTGTGTGTGGATTTCATATCCTACAATTTTGCCAATTCATTTATTATGTGTGTGTGTGTGTGTGTGTGCGCGTGTGTGTGAATTCTTAGGATGATTTAGAGATAAGGTAACACCAACTGCAGATTGAAATAGTTTCTTTCTTTCTACACAGAACCTTAGAAAGGGAACTTATTTGGAAAGAGGGTAGGTAGGTACCTATAATGAGGCCACAGTGGAGTAGAGTGGTCCCTTAACCTACTGGGAGTGGCATCCTTACAAGAAGGGAAGAGACAAAGAGATAGACACACATGGGAGGACATACAGTGACGACAGAGGTGGAAGCCGATGCGGCCACAAATAAAGGAATAGAAAAGACTGCCGGCTACATCCTGAAGTTGGGAAAAGAGCAGGGAAGTTTCCCTCCAAGAGTCTCGGGGTGGGGGTGGGAGGTGGACAACTCCACCTGGATGTGACATGTCCAGTCTCCACGCTGAAACAACAACTTCTATTGTTTCAAGTAACCCAGTTGGTGGTACTTTCAATGGCATTCCTGGGAAACTAGTTCTCACTCTAATTTGTATAAGTTTTCTTTTTCTTGCCTAATTTTTCTGGCTAGTTAACACTGATCCTCCTCAAAATTGTGCAACAATTGAAGAGGAAAGCACACTTATGTCAAATCCTACACTTATATCTAAGCCACCCATAGACACTATAAAAAAAGAAACCTACAAACACACATACCTGATATATACCAATGCAAAAATCTTCCACAAAATGCTAGCAAGCTAAATCCAGTATCATATCAAAAATATTATATACCATGGCTAAGTATAATTTACACCAGGCATGCAAGAGTAGTTCAACATATGAAAATCAATCAGTATAATATACAACACACTCATGGAAAGCAGGGAAATACATATAAGCACCTCGATTGATACACATAAGGCATGTGACAAAATTTGATATCCAATCATGAAAAAACACTCGAACCTGGAAAAGAGGAGGATTTCCTCCATATCACAAAAGCTGAACATGAAGAAACCCAGCTAATGTGAAACTCAAGGAGAACCACAGGAAGCTGGTCTCCCCCAGCCAGGAGGAAGACAGTGATGGTGCTTTCACCTCCCGAACCCAGCACTGCTCAGTTTCTGCTTGTGGAGGAGCAGGAAGGAGAGCTGCCTGCTCTGTCCTGCATCTAAAGCATCGCCACACATCAAATAGTGTTTACTAAATTCACATCTATCAAATACTAGTACTAGAATAAAAAAGCTGAATTTAATTGAGTGCTTACGAGTATCAGGCTCTGCATTGAACTTTATACACCGAAATCTTTATATACTGAAATCCTCACAGTGATGCTAAGAGGTAGGTATTATTGATATTTACCCATATAATAAATGAATAATTGTTGATTTTAGAGGCTAAATAATCTGCCCAAATTAAAACAGCTAGTAGGAACAGAACAGAGCACCTGAGGCAGGTAGACTGAAAAGACCCTGCATTTATACAGCATCTTTGCACAGACAAGGTCGCAACAAGCCCTCAGGCTGACTAGAGGTGGTTAATGTCTGAGAAGACTAATAACAAAGGTGTGGGAGGTGAGCAAAGGAACACAGGGGATCTGCCAGTAAGACAGGACACAAAGCTTTGGGTGCATAGTAAACAAGCCCCCCAAAATCTAAAAAACTCCATCATGACCAGTGTTCACAGCCTCCAATCAAGGCCAAATTGAAGCTACCCCTTGCAACTTCAGGAATCAATTAAAAAAACATCAAAAATGATAAATAACTAAGGCTATCGCCTGGATTTTCTAGGTTTACTATTACCCTGGTGATGAACACTCGGAAGAAAACTTAAAATCTTTATCAGGAAAGGTATTTAAAACTTACTTGGCTTGTGACCAACTCCTGGAGAAATAAAGACATGCATGTGTCAGGCAGGTAACTGGGTGCTCTGTACTCACCTCTGCCATGTGCTTTGCCACGAGGCCCACGATGACAATGACCTTGCCCCTGAAGCTCTGGAGCAGAGAAGCGTAGGGGCCCTGCGCCAGCTCCCCTTCTGCCGTGAACGCTGCACTGAATGGAATATTGACGCTGCCTGAAATGTGGCCCCGGACAAAACTGAGAAGGAAAGTTTAAGGAAAACATCCTTGTGCAGACTTGAGTGTGTGCGCGAGATAATTCTTTACTGACATGAAAATTTCTCAGTTGTCCCAAATTATAGGTTCATCTTTCAAAAACCTACTTCTGTCTGTCTGTCTGTCTCTCTTATTAAAGGAAACCAGAGAAATTTGAAGTTTCTGCTCTTCAAGGATGATAGCAGACAACACATCTTACCTTAGAAATGTTCTAGTCAGGTATTGCTTCATCATTTCTTTTTCTTTAAATGAAAGCATTTCATGGTAATATTGTTTAATTACAATGAAAATTTCTAAAAAGTGAATACAGAATAAACACTAACACTGAACATTGTCTGGTAAGTCTTCCAGAATGGACAGAAAATTTATGATCATAGGCAGATTTCGTGAGTGTGACCTTCTCAAACATTTACACTGATTCAGGATTCTCAGTTACCCTCAGAGCACTTTTATTTTCAGTAAGCACATACCTTACAATGAATCTTTTTGATATCACAAGCTAAGCACCTAACAAATTAAATGTTCTCAGCAAAAGTACCTGCATCTGTCAGTATGAACCAGTGGCCAGAGTTTCTGTATTTATCAAACAGCCCTTATCAACTGGGAACATGGCTTTCTAGTGCTTTTCTAGTATCAAAAGCAGGTCCACCCCCATGCTATTGCCTCAAAGGACCTCACTGGGTTGGTGATGAGAGGGGGCCTTCAATTGCTATGTCTGTATTAGATGACGTGCCATAACCTTGACGAACAGGATCGTGGCTGGGATGGGGAACATGGCTATCTGATGTAAGTTGAGAATCAAAAGATTCTGTCCTTTGAAAATCAAAACTAAAAGCTACAAAGGACAATGGCCAGCCTGCGCTAATTTTACGATATGAAGTCTCATTTGAGTCCTTCTGAGTGAGACCTCAGAAGTCACGGGGGGATCAATGACTGATCAGTATGGATCACTTGTCTATTGCTGTTTCATAACTTTTCAGAGGATGTAAGAGGCTGTGGGACTTTATGTCTCTCATCTGCCTTTTTCCACATATAAATATTTTCTGAGTATTTGGGTACTGTCAGGTGCCAAAGCTGGTGCTAGGGTTACAGAGATTAAAAAGGGCATGAATCTGACTCCTGTTTTGCTTCCCTCACCCATAGATTACTTCCTTGCCATTGTGTTTTCTGTTTACCCTACTTAATAAGTATTAAATGCAAAATGTTGTACCATTTGGTACTTAATAAATACTGTCTTTACTCTTCATTTATTTTTTCACATAAAATATCTTAATGTTTTAAATATTTTATATTCTTTATATTACATTAACTGTTTTTTCTGTGGTTTTACTTATATTTATGCTGCAGAAAGTAAAGGAGAATATCAGTGAAAAATAACAGACTATGAGATCCGGAAACACTTGGATTTACTGTCACTTTCAAATTGTATGAATATTTAAATTTTAAATATTTAGTTAAACTATTTGGAAGGATGTATCAGAAGAGTGGTATGTTCATACACCATTTTAGCAACAGACTTTAAAATTAAAATAGGGCCTTATAATGCTATATGTTTTTGATAGTTTTATGAGAGACTATGATGAATGGTTCAACCAAAAACTAACTGAATGATAAGCAAAATAGCTCAGAAGGAGAAAGACAAATATACTGGATGGTTTCACTTATAATGTGGAATACAGAGAAACAAAACAAAGAGCCAGACAAAACCAAATGCATAACAAATCCTGGATAGTTGACTGAAAAGCAGAAGGGGAGAGCAGGTTGGGAGAGGGGTAGGAGTGGCCTAGTGGAGCATGGTGGAGAGTTACCGGGGCACTGGTGGTGGGCAGGGTGTGAAAGCATACATTTATACAGGTTCAAACCTATAACCCCTAGGACAAATGCAAGGTTACAAATGCAAGGTTTGTACAACCTTAATAAACATAACTGGGGGAGGGGGGGAAAGAAACAAGAAGTGAATGGCGGCGAGGAGACGCTGCGAGTAAGATCTCCCATTAAAAAAAGTTAATAGGGAGGAAAAGCGGCAGGTCCCAGTGAAAAGTGGGACACGGAAGATAAACGGGTGACGCCAGCAAACTGCCCGAAGAAGAAAGTGGCCATAAAAGAGGACTAGAAGGGAGGGAAGCGCAGAACCCTGCTCCCCTCCCCCGCCCACAGAGGCGGCACTCTCCGACCCGCAGAGAGGAGGAAAACAACAAACCAAAACAGCCAACAAGAACAAACGACGCAGCAAGCGGGACTGTGAGTGGAAAGGAACTATTGCAGCCAACACACCCCGTGAACGGGAGCTGTGGAGAACCCTGCAGGATCCGCCGCGGCGGTGAGCGAACGGCTCCGGGTGCCATTAGAGAAGAATGAAGACCCCGGGAGACCTGCACACAGCCCGGGCTGCCGGTAAGCTTGCGCGGGAAAGCGGCGCACTTGGCGCGCTTGAAAAGCAAACGCGGACCGGGATCCCGGCTGCCCAGGTCCCCGCGCCTGCGATCTAGGCTTGCGGGGAGATGCGCGGAGGCCCTCACGGGGGTGAAAGTCCCTCCCTGAGTGAACAGGAACCAGGCGCCCAGGCACGGGAGCTGGGTGCAAAAGGCGCCATTCCCGCGCCACTGAACTGGGCTACAGCCCGCGTCCTGGACCTGAGGGCTTTGAACTGAGACCCAGGGCACGAAATTCTGGGCGTGGGTTCTCCACGACGGTGGGGCACAAGGCAGACACAGCACCCCAAAGCTGTTGAGGTTTACCCTACCATTTTTGCTCTCTGTTCCCTGTCTCACGGGGGTGGGGGGTTGAAAAACAGCCCCCCAAGGACAATAGGAGAGGTCTCTGGCGCCACCTAGCGAACAGAAAAAAGTCACTAACACCCCATAGAGCAGGGAAATTTCTTAAGACTTCTTGAAAAGGGCAGAAGGCTTCTGGAGGACCCAGTGGCCAGCTGGGAAGTTAGCCCACGCCAGGCCCCTTCCAACCAGCAGTCGGAGCCCACAGAGGGAGCAGGCACCCACGTCCGGGGCAGACCGGGCACACAGAAGTGTGTGCCTGAGACCGGATATACAGGGACTGCGTCCCGCTTCACCAGTTTAGAAAAGGGACATTTCTTCAGTAAAGACTTCCTGAAACCAGCAGAAAGCCCCCCCAGAAGCCAGAGATGGTTCCTGGAGGAGCCAGAGGGGAGCGGAGAAGTTCACCCAAGATGACGGCCAGTCCGAGCAACACAGTGTCCCAATGCATACGACAAATTAGAAAACAGACAGTAGGGAGTAGAAGAACCACACGCAACCTAACAACGCCTCAGGAAAGAAGCACACCACAAAAAGAAAACCACCCTCCAGATTGCAACGACAGTAACATGGAAGAACTTCTGAGCCTTCCAGAAAGAGAATTTAAAATTGCCCTGATTAAAAAAGTGGCAGAAGTCATAAAGGAAAACAATGATCAGAAGAAGGAAATTGAGTCCCTAAAGAGGGAAAACAATGGTCAGAAGAATGAAATGGAGTCCCTAAAGAGGGAAGTAAAAGAAATGCAAGAGATCAAAGAATTAATAGAGGAACTAAAGAACTCTGGGAAAAGCAATGAAAGCAGAATAGATGAAATGGAAGAACGAATAAGTACTCTTGAAGACACAGAAATAAAAAGAACCAAAACAGAAAGGGAAAGAGAAGTACGAAGGAAAAAGAACGAAGAAAGACTTCGGGAACTATCTGACTCCATGAGGAAAGGAAATATAAGAGTTATAGGAATTCCAGAAGGAGAGGAGAGAGATGTAGGAACAGAGAAAATATTCCAGGAGATAATTGCAGAGAACTTCCCAAATGCGAAGAAGGAGCTGAAAATTGATATACAAGAAGCAAGAAGAACACCAAACTTCCACGACGAAAGGAAAAATACAGCAAGACACATAATAGTAAAGCTCCCAAGAATCCAGGACAAGGAAAAAATAATGAAGCTGGCAAGAGGGAAGAAACAGATAACATTCAAAGGAAAACCAATCAGGCTGACATCAGACTTCTCTGAAGAAACACTACGGGCAAGGAGAGAGTGGAGGGACATAGTCAACAGACTCCAAGAAAACAGATGCCAACCAAGAATACTCTATCCCGCAAAGCTCTCCTTCCTCTTTGAAGAAAGAATATGGACCTTCCCAGACAAAGAGAAACTCCGGAATTTCATTACGACTAAACCCCCACTCCAAAAAATATTACAAGGAATCCTAAAGCCAGAACCTCAGAGGGATGAATAACAACGAAAGAAGACCAAAAAAAAAAAAAAAAAGTTATTAAAGAATAAATAAATAAAATCAAAGGAAAGACAAACACAATGGCAAATACAGATGCTAACATATCAATATTAACTCTAAATGTAAATGGACTAAACTCTTCAATAAAAAGACACAGAGTTGCAGCCTGGATTAAGAAACAAAACCCAACCTTTTGCTGTCTCCAGGAAACACATTTAGCTACAAAAGATAAAAATAGGCTTAAAGTTAAAGGATGGAAAACAATCCTACAAGCAAATGGACCAAAAAAGAAAGCAGGAACAGCTATACTTATATCAGATAAAACAGACTTCAAACTCAAAAAAATAAAGAGACCCCAGTGGTCACTACATTATGATCAAGGGGACAATACTTCAAGAAGAAATAACACTCATTAACATATACTCACCAAACGAAGGAGCACCAAAATATATCAGACAACTGTTGTCCTCTCTGAAAACAGACATCAGAGAAAACACATACGTAGTGGGAGACTTCAACACACCACTATCAATAATGGATAGATCAACAAGACAAAAAATAAGTAAAGAAACTAAAGCTCTAAATAAGGACCTAGAGCATTTGGGCTTAACAGACATCTATAGAACACTAAACCCAAAAAAAACGGAGTACACATTTTTCTCAAGCGCACACGGATCATTCTCCAGGATCGATCACATACTGGGGCACAAGACAAACATCAACAGATACACCAAGATTGAAATCATACCAACCATTTTTTCTGACCATGAAGGCATCAAACTAGAAATAAACCATAAAAAGAAGGCAAGGAACTATCCTACCTCATGAGATTAAAAACCACACTACTGGAAGACCACTGGACTAACGAGGAGATCAAAGAAGAAATTAAAAAATTCTTTGAATTGAATGACAAGGAGGACACTAATATCCTAAATGTATGGGATGCAGCAAAAGCAGTAATAAGAGGAAAATATATAGCAATAGAATCTCACATCAAAAAACAAGAAAGAACTCAAAGAAACAACCTAATCTCGAAGCTCAGAGGTCTAGAAAAAGAACAACAAAAAAACCCCAAAACCAGTAGAAGAAAAGAAATAATAAAAACCAAAGCAGAAATAAATGAAATTGAAACTAAAAAAACAATCCAAAAGATCAATGAAACCAAGAGCTGGTTCTTTGAAAAAATCAATAAAATAGACAAACCCCTAGCCAGGCTCACAAAGGAAAAAAGGGAGAAAGCACAAATACACAGGATCATCAATGAAAGAGGAGAAATCACAACGGACACAGCAGAAATCAAAAGAATAATCAGTAACTACTATGAACAGTTATATGGAAACAAGTTCAACAATCTAGAGGAGATGGACAAATTCCTACAACTCTACAATCACCCAAAGCTAGATAAAGAAGAAATAGAACACCTAAACAGACCAATTACAAGCAGCGAAATTGAAATGGTAATCAAAAACCTTCCCAAAAATAAAAGCCCAGGACCTGATGGATTTACAAATGAATTCTACCAAAGATTCAGAGACGAATTAGTGCCTATCCTTCACAAACTCTTCCAAAAAATTGAGAAGGAAGGGACAATACCAAACACGTTCTATGAAGCCGACATTACACTAATACCAAAACTGAATAAGGACAACACAAAAAAGGAAAACTACAGGCCAATCTCCCTAATGAACACTGATGCAAAAATCCTCAATAAAATTTTAGCTATCAGAATCCAACAATGTATCCATAAGATAATTCACCACGACCAAGTAGGATTCATTCCAGGGACACAAGGATGGTTTAACATCCGAAAATCAATCAACGTTATCCAACACATCAACAAAAAGAAATATAAAAACCATATGATAATATCAATAGATGCTGAGAAAGCTTTCGACAAAGTGCAACACCCATTCATGATAAAAGCCCTTGAAATTCTTGGGATACAAGGAATGTACCTCAACATCATAAAGGCCATCTATGACAAGCCAACAGCCAGTATCATCCTCAATGGTGAAAAGCTGAAAGCAATTCCATTAAGATCTGGAACAAGACAAGGATGTCCACTCTCACCACTGCTTTTCAACATAATACTGGAAGTCCTAGCCAGAGCAATAAGACAAGAGAAAGACATCCAAGGAATCCAAATAGGAAAAGAAGAAGTCAAACTATCACTATTTGCAGATGATATGATAATATACATAGAGAACCCCAAAAACCCCACAGAAAAACTAATTCAACTTATCAATCAATTCAGTAAAGTGGCAGGATACAGAATCAACACGCAAAAGTCAGTAGCCTTCCTATACACAAACAATAAATCTGAAGAAGAAGAAATCAAAAAAACCATCCCTTTCATTATCGAAACAAAAAAAATCAAATATTTGGGAATAAATCTAACAAAAGAGGTAAAGGACCTATACAAAGAAAATTATAAAACACTGTTAAAAGAAATAGAAGAAGACACAAAGAAATGGAAAGACATCCCCTGCTCATGGATTGGAAGAATAAACATTATTAAAATGGCCATCCTACCAAAAGCAATATACCGATTCAATGCTATTCCAATCAAAATTTCAATGTCATTCTTCAAAGAAATAGAACAATTATTGATGAAATTCATATGGAATCACAAAAAACCCCGAATAGCCAAAGCTCTACTGAAAAAAAAAGAAGGGAATGGAGGCATCACACTCCCAGACTTCAAACTATACTACAAAGCCATAATCATCAAAACTGCATGGTACTGGAACAAGAACAGACATACAGACCAATGGAATCGAATAGAAAATCCAGAAATAAACCCACAGATTTATGGTCAACTAATCTTTGACAACGGAGCAAAGACTATGCATTGGAGCAAAGAAAGTTTGTTCAATAAATGGTGCTGGGAAAACTGGATTGCTACATGCAAAAGAATGAAGCTTGACCACTACCTCACACCATACACCATACATCAACTCAAAATGGATTAAAGAACTAGACATAAGACCTGAAACCATAAAATACATAGAAGGAAATATAGGTGAAACACTACGTGATTTGCATATCAAAGACATCTTTACAGACACATCACCCAAAGCAGTGATAGTGAAGGCAAAGATAAACAGATGGGACTACATCAAATTAAAGAGCTTCTGCACAGCAAAAGAGACAATAACAAAAACAAAGAGAAACCCCACCAACTGGGAGAACATTTTTGCACCCAACACTAATGATAAAGGACTGATCACAAAAATCTGCAAAGAGCTGATGAAACTCAACAACAACAAAGAAAATACTCCAGTCAAAAAATGGGCAGAAGAGCTGAAAAGAAACTTCTCTGAAGAGGAAATGCAAATGGCCAACAGACATATGAAAAAATGTTCAACATCACTTGTCATCAGGGAAATGCAAATCAAAACTACCATGAGATACCATCTTACACCAGTGAGAATGGCACATATTAAAAAAACTAGCAACAACAAATGTTGGCGAGGTTGTGGAGAAAAAGGAACTCTTCTGCACTGTTGGTGGGAATGCAAACTGGTCCAACCACTATGGAGAGCTGTGTGGAGATTTCTGGACCTACTAAACATAGAGCTTCCATAGGATCCAGCAATTCCACTCCTAGGTATTTACCCAAAGGACACAGAAACATCCATTCCAAAGAACACCTGCACCCCTATGTTTATAGCAGCACTATTTACAATAGCTAAGCTTTGGAAACAGCCCAAATGCCCAAAAATAGATGACTGGATCAAGAAGATGTGGTCCATATATACCATGGAATATTACTCAGCATTCAAAAAAGATAAACACATGCAATTTGCAGCAACATGGATGGCGCTGGAAGGGATCATGCTCAGCGAAATAAGCCAAAAAGAAAAAGAAAAATACCGGATGGTCTCACTCATAGCAGGAATCTAGAAAACTTAAATAAGGGATCAGGAAAAAGAATAACTATAAGAAAGTGAAAATCAAAATCAACAAAAAACTATGAACCCGAGACACTTTTTGGGGGGTGGGGGCCGGGAGGGGAGGGATTGGGGTCAGAATGGGGCATGTGCAGTTGTATGGGGGAGTATAAAAATAAAATTTATTATTTAATAAAAAAAAAAAAAGAAACAAGAAGTGAAAAATTTTTAAGAATTTTAAACTTGAAGTAACATTAAAAAAAAAAAAACGAACCAAAAACTTCTAGAACATGGGGATCCCCAGTAACCTGGAATAGTAAGCTTCTCTGGGGAGTCTACTTACCTACTGTGCCAAGTAACTTCTGGTACACTAACAATCAGAGATAGGAATAGTAATTTTCTATCAAAAGATGAGGATGTAACATTTGAAATAGCAAGCTCTCAAATTTTATTTTCAGTAATCTAAGATTCTGTGGATTATTTCACAGATTTTGTAAATATTTAAAAACTGCATTTCAAAACTTATGGTTGAAAATGTGTAAGTGAAAGCTTACCTATGCTAGTAAGAGCTTGTTAGAGACCCTAAACCCACTAGTCCTTGCTTTAGTTAGCAAATATTGTGTCAATTTATGAAGAAAATTAACTAGGCCAAAATCCATTATCCATATACTGTATTTCTAAGAAAGATTTTATTTTACAAGGGAGTTGCTCTGTCAAAGTCTGGAATCATTTCCCTACAGTATAATTAGGCATGCTCTCTGAGAATTTGACAGATGATGAAAATGTAAGGGGGAAGACCAAACTATTCATATTTTGTAAGTGTTCATACTTTGATGCCCAAAAAATCAGAAGTTATGGCACATTTAATAGTAAAATGTCAGTGAAAAATATTTTAACGTGTTCTCTATAAACCAGTAATCTAAAAATTGAAATAAGCACAGTTTACTGTTAGGATTTAGCAAGTTCTTGCTCTAGGCTGTGAGGAAGACCAAGTGTGTAACTAGTCGTCATCTTGGCCCATACTTTATCTACATAGGAAGGATTTAAATGCCCTCAAGAACAGCAATATACACCAGAGGAACACAAAAACTAAGAAAAGAACCAGAAATTCTGATGTTTGGAAAACATTTTAAGGTCTCTGGTATGTAATAGTATCTCAGGAAACAACATGCAAGTGCACTCTGGCATCCAGCTTGAGAGCTACTGAATTCAGAGGAAGCCCAGATAAGCTCATTGCTTTCACCACACGCCCTTAAGACAAAGCAAGGAAGCAAGCATTATGAACAAGAGTGCCCCCAAGAGGCCGAGCTATGAAGGATACTCCTCACTGTTACGGATGTCCACCACCAGGAGCTTTGGCTTGCTGGACTTGGTCTTCTTGGTGGGTGCTTTGAAGTGGCCGGTCACTGAGAGTTCACACAAGTCAATCAGGTCCTCTGCCGAAATCCGGGGTGATACTTCGGACTTGAGGTCATTTAATGGGATGGATTCTCTTGGCTGAAAAAAATGTACAAGCAACACAAATGCTGAGAATATGACAGAGAAAGACGACAGGCCGTGTAGGGTAGCCTCAGAGAACACGGCCTCCCGGCAGTCTGTTGTGTAATGGAGCCCTTCTAATACTGAGCTTTACGTTCTTAGAGGCCACCGTGTAGGAAGCACTGTCCTGCCCAGGATAAGCTCCTGACTCAAATGTGATAGTGTCAAGGCAGATTGTTCCTTACAGGTACACTGGATCTTTAAAAACAGCTCCTGGGGGGCACATTTCACTTTTCTTCAAGGATAATTACTCTTGTGAATCACATTAATTACAATGCTGGTAATGTGAGAAACTGCTGTGTAACTCGGTACACATACCAATTAAAGAATCTGGTTCTGAAACATGCATGGGGCTCTTATAACTTATGTTACAGATGCATGGTTAAGTGGAAATTACATTCTCAGAGATGACTGAGAGCAAAATATTGCCAATCTTTAACAGGAAACCAAATTGACAATGTAGCAACCTTAAAGTAGATAAAACCAAACTCCAAACAATCAAACCAGTGCATTGGCCTATGGTTGTAAAACTGATTCAGACTGAGGGCTGTTTACACTCATTTTCCGTCATGGTCCCAAGGAGAACGCGATACCACTCAATTAAAAAAATATATTAAGCAGTGTTCATTAGTAGTCTCTCTTGAAAACCTTTTTAGTATATCTTGAGAATTTAAGAACTTTTAAAATTCGTTTGATTGCAAACACACAGATTCAAAAGAAACATGTCATTTATATGCTTAATAATTTTTCAAAATTGAGCCTAATTATTATCCCATTTATTCTCTTAATTCCACTGTGGAATTACCTACTTAGAATTTCTAATTAGAATTTCTAGACTAGTAAGAATAAAGTATATGTATCACTTATCTGACAGACTTATTCTGAGAAACACTTGTTTTCAACTGGAACATGAATGTCAGCTCTCATCTCTGGGTTTCCCTGCACCCCAAATTCTTTAGTAGTAAAGCACTTGTTCTCTTACTTCATTAGCTTTTAAATAGAAATGGAAATTGCTAAGCTTTATGGATTTATGGTTCTTAATAAAAAATAGGCATTAGGAATTTTAATTTTCTAATATTAGGAATTAAAGCTACTTAAACATCCTGGAATGAAAAGCGCTGCAGGAAGATTAGAGAGCTTTACAATCAGCAAGCCATACAATCAACGCTTCCATCTCCTTTTCACTAGATTGCAATCTCTGCAGGTATTTTTCCCAGCTTCCACATGAGGTTGCACATTTATGAAGATAAAATAAAGAACTTTGATTACTTCTGCTTTTCGTGATGAAAGTGGCATTCCAAGCAGAGGTTTTATCTGAATGACAGGTGTGCCCTGCCTGATGAAGAAGACTTGACCTTGGCATTGGCCCCAATCAAATACATCAAATGTGAGGAGCTTTTCAGAGGAAATAGCAATTGCCGGGTGAAATGGTAAGAACAAGGAGACAGGAACCACTCACAAATCTATAACTTTCTGAACTTTTGTGATCATGTATCAGTAAAGACTTTAATGGCATGCATGCCAGTTCTGCAAATTAATTTTAAGAGATTAGTAAGTTATTACTTTGTTTAATGATTAAAACACAGAATCTAGCTTTTCCCTTGTGAAACTGTGTTTTCTACATGATTATTATCATTCATTGTCTAATTTCCACATAAAGGCATACCCATAAATCTCCCACAGTACAACTTTTGTTGTACTTATCGCTGACATTGGCATTTTCCTGTGTGACTGAGGTTATAAATTCATGGACAATTGTTATGGACAATGGACAAAAATTTAGGACAACTACAGAATAGCTCTGGAAATGTCTTGCCCAGTTCTGCCCAAGAGCCTGCATATAAAATGTATATTAAACTTCGCTGTTTAAATTCCAGAAAACAATTTGCCTGAGAACTACTTAAAAAAATTTGTGTTCTATTCCCTACCTAGGCTGAGAATTTATTTAGCAGTATTAGTGGTAAAGATCACGTTTCAATATACTGTGTCCCTCTGAAAAGTCTATCTGGGAGTATTAATTCTACTACTAAACCTGGTCACAAGACAGGCATTTTGCTGGGTCTGCCCAGCTCCCGGGAGGATGGCTCTGCGACGCCACCTGAGCCTGAGATGCCCACGTTCTAATGCGAGGACTCCTGCATAGTCTTATGCTGCACATGGGACCTGCAACTAAGAGGGTTTCACCCTGTACTGTCTGATCTCACAGGTAGCAGCTCCTACATAACCACCATAGCAGTTCAACTATGAGTGTCTAGAACACTCTTCCTGTATTCTTTTTTTTAAAGATTTATTTATTTTTGCATACAAGAACTGGGGTACAGGCCAGAGGTGGGGAACAGAACAGGCAGACTGAAATACACTGCTAAGAGGAGCAGTGAGCGAGTCAGGAGAGGTCTGCTGTGCCATGTGGGTAGCTCCCTGGCTGGCCGGGGATCAAATTCGTGCTGCAGTGGCTGCAGATGGCTTCATAGTGCTGTGCTTAACCCCTTGCGCCACCAGGGAAGCCCTCTTCCTATATCTTTTTGTCATGAATTCTGGCACTAACTTCAAGCTAGTGAGCCAAGACAGAAATCGGGAAGTCACTGTAGACTCTTCATTCTCTCTTATTCCTGATGTCCATCTAGCCAATTGTCAAGTTCCACCATAATGTCTCCTGAATGAGTTCCCTGACTCATGGCCTTCTCTCAGGTTCTCTCTTGTTCATGATGTAGGGAAGCTGGTGTCTTTCACTCTACTCTGTTTTTCTCTGCTCACTCTTCATCTAAAGTCATCCTTTTTAATCCATCTTGAAATGCCTTTTGAGTTGAAAATAAACTCTGATCATACAACTTTTATTATTAAAAACACCCCCATGGCTTATAGACATTGATAAAATGAAATTCCAATGCCTTTCTAGTTACTACTCATCTTTCTTTTCATCAATATGAAAAACTGAAGATATTTGCTGCTACCTAAAGTCTGTAAAATGCACTCTAATGAATTGGAAGAGTTGTGTGAATATAAAGAAAACACAAAATAGAAGTAAAACAAACCAATATTAGGAAATCAGGCTACATAATTTAGTAATAATAAATATACTAATGAAGGAAAATAGACAAATACTAGAGTTGATATTTTGGGGGAAATCAACAAAACAAAAAACTATATATGAACTTGATGTCTAGATGACTAGAAATAGTTAACACATTTTTAAAATTATATAAATAATCATTTATACTGGGATGGTGAAAATCATCACATTCACTGAATCCCACATCTAACAACTGTGTCCCTGTTGCAGCCTTTCTGCAGAACTGTGCCAGAATCCTTTCTCTTTAAATACCCTGGAATGTCATGGATACATGAAATGACATTCCTGAACTTTGAGGCTGCAGAAAGAAGATCTCTGTGTAAGATCCTAGATGGTTACTCTAAGCTGGAATCACACTATCCATGCCCATCACTTTTCATGAAGAAAATGTTTTATAGACTTAGTGGTAGAAAAATATTGCCACAGGAGCTGTACCAAATGAATAACGAATTAAATCAGGTTGCAAAGGAATAAAATTCGCCCCAGCATAACTCTGGCAGCCAATGGATATGCTCATCCTGTGTCAAAGCGCAGCCCTGGTGCCTGCGGGGTGTGGGCGCATCCCTGGAGGGTGCAACCGTGGGCTGGGGCCAGTCCTTAGCAGGACACTGTACCCTGTAGCATGCAACTGCTGTTTTCACCAAAGATGGCCACAAATCAGATTTACTTTCTCCTTTTGTGTTTCCATCAAGAATGACATCCTGGCATGCAGACCTCTCCTGCCGCCCACTGCTCCCCTCAGCAGTGTACTTCGGTCCTTCTGCCTTCTCTGCTCCCCACTCTGGCTCTGGTGAATTCTCTCACCCTCCCGCTTCTGACTGTACCCAGTGCTAGTATAAATAAGTAAGTAAGTAAATAAATAAATCTTAAAAAAAAAAGTGACATTCCTAGAATCCCCCTTCTAATTGCAACCTCCCACCCAAGCCTTGCCTCTTCTTCTCCAAACTACCACTCCTCCCCCATTGTGCTCAATACAATACACTCTAGAAATCATGCAGTGTTAGTCATTCTGGACTCTTGTCTGACTGTGGGCTTTTTTCTGCCCTGTTTCACTCACTGCGTCTACATGGCACCTCTCCACTCAGAAGAGATGGTGTGCACTGCAATCTGTGCCTTCAGAAAGTGGCATTTATTAATCTTTCATTTTATGATGAAAGACCAGGAATTTCTATAACACAGAAACCATGAGTACAACTATGAAATCTGATTTACCAGGGCAACTTCACAAAAAGGATAAAAGTAAATGCTATAAAAGATAGTGATGGGATATATAATGTGGAGATATTTCCAGCCTCAGACTGCTGCAGCAAAAACAATTAAATTTTTTAAAATGAATGAGAAAACGGGTCATGAGAAAAAGCAATGATAAACACGCATCACTAATTTAAAATTCTTCATGACCTGGAAATAAAGAATTTTCCTTGAGTTCATTTGTTACATTTCTTTACTTATAGTTTTATTTTGCAATGGATTTTTGCTTCAGCATACTCTTCCAAACAAGTCAATACGTGTTCCATCTCTTCCGAATACATTATTTTCATGTGCCAAAATAGTTTTCTGCTGTGTTGAATTAAATTACACCCAAAATTTGGAACTAATATGCTGTGGGAGAGGAAGTTTATATAAAATGATAATGATCTTTTTATGCCGCCCTTGAAGGGGTCTGTTTTAAGTAACAACCGAGACTAGAAAATAAACTGCGTGGTGGTAACGGGGACAGAAAGGGACACTGGTGATCTTTTCTCTTCATCTGAATCACAGATCTGTTCACGGTGACCTTTGCTCATGCACTTCAGTCAGCAAGGCATGTGGGACGATGCAGCCCACTCTGCTGTGACCCGGGGGCTGGGGAAGCCCCACTCTGCACCCCCGAAGGAGCTCCACTAGCCCGTGCCCACAAGGTGCAGGTGCTCAATCAGTGCCTGATAAGTGAGTGAAACAGTCAAATTCTTTTTAAAAGGATATGAAAAGTAAAACTAAATACGTTTTTTAAAAAATTATCTTTCTCTTGGGTTTTTCTTAATCTCTCCCGACATTTCTTTCACTCCTTCCCATAGCTTCTTTTGAAGCAAAGTTGCTTACATCTTTAAGTTTCAGGATGGAGAAGAGTGACACTCTCAGCTCCTGCTGCAGCCACAGTGCCTGCAGCCATGCTGATGCTCGCGCACTCCTACACCCTACATGCCATGCTGATACTCGCGCACACCTGCAACTACACTTGGTTGCTGCAGACGTTCTGAGTCGATCTTTTACTGATTTCAATGGAAAAAAAAAATCTTGACATTTAGGAGGGAACAAAGTTTTTTTTCTTAAAAGATTTATTTTTTATTTATACAACAGCTGCGGAACAGGCCAGAGGCGCAGAGGGTGAGATGATTCACCAGAGACAGAGTGGGGAGCAGGACAGGCAGACGGACTGAAAGCACTGTGGAGGGGAGCAGCGGGTGCAACAGGAGAGGTCTGCCGTGCCCTGTGGGAATCTCCCTGGCCAGCCGGGAATCGAACCCGCACTGCAGAGGCTGTGGACAGCTTCACAGCGCTGTGCTGCTGTGCTCAACCCACTGTGCCACCGGGGAGGCCTGGAACAAAGATTTTTTTGGGGTAAACTTCCTGCTGATTTATTTTGCCTTGAAAACGTCAGTGCTGCAAGTCATTCTATTGATTAAGATCTGCTTCCACTTTTATAAGTGTTTTGAAAGCTGATTAGAGATCATGTGAGATCCGGACTGAAAGAGTCATCTGGGAATTTTGTCAGGGGAAGAAAGAAGAAAAAGTGTAGTGAGGCCAAGAATAAGGTGGGTGTTCAAGGGTAAGATCCGAATATTCTGGTAATAGGATAATTTAGTCACATGAATACAAAGTATTGTACAACGGTGATCTTCTCTATCTTCAGTCTACATGTAATTGAGACAGTAATGTGATATTCTTGTAGTCACTCCTTTTTTTAGGATGTAGGATGCTTATCACAAAGAATTTAAGAATTTGTTGAGGAATTCTAATGCAGCTCTTGCATATGAATAGCAAGCTGAGTAATCTGATATCCTCATGATTATGGTAAAGATATTAAAATATAATAAGACTATTATAAATTACAAACAGAGGTAAATTATATGTAGAGAAAATATTCAGCTACATTATACTGATCTTTCATTGAAATTGTACCTACTATGACTATTCCATAATTCCAGACTGCTTACAGAGAGGTCATTAAACAATTACAACAGAAGCAGTAAAGACAATAGATGCAAAGCTAAGCATCTACTCAATTAATTTGCTGCTTTAAATAATTTCATCAGACACTGTTTAGTTTACTTTCAGATTTAGATTCTCTTCTCAACATAATTTGTTGAGAAGGTCACATAGGGCCTCCCCTGGTGGCGCAGCGGTTGAGCGCTGGGCTGCAAAGCTGCCTGCAGCCTCTGCGGCGCGGTTCAATCCCCGGCCACCGGCGAGGGTCCCACAGGGTGCGTAGACCTCTCCTGCCTCGTCCTCTGCTCCCCTCAGCAGTGTATTTAGTCCGTCTGCCAGTTCTGATCCCCGCTCTGGCTCTGGTGAATTCTCTCACCCTCCCGCGCTTCTGACTGTACTCAGGGCTTGTATAAATAAAAAAATCTTTAAAAAAAAAAAAAAAAAGGTCACGTAACTGTGCTTTTCTTTCTCCTTTATCATAAAAACAATTAAATTTATTGAAGAGCAGGTATGTAGTGATTGCATAAGTGTATCTAAACATAGGCACTAGGAAATAGGAGAAAATTACAAAATAAAACTTGAAAAACTACATAGAGTAAGGCATTTGTTAATATATATGCTTCAATGACTAAGACAGACATAGCATTTATATACCTGGAAAAACAGCAATTTTCAAGTTAACTGGCTTTATAAAATAGACTTCTGAGTTTCCTTAACTCTAGTAAAGGGATAAAAATACTTGTGTCAGAGATGGGTTTAGAGGCAATAAAATGTAGCTGAATACCCGGAAACTAAAATGTACTGTGGTATTAATTCAAAATTGTTTAAACTATATAAAGCAGTGTTGTTATTGAGGGCCTCCCCGGTGGCGCAGCAGTTGAGCGCTGGGTTGCGAAGCTGCCCGCAGCCTCTGCAGTGCCGGTTCGATCCCCGGCTGCTCCCCGGCCACCGGAGGAGGGTCCCACATGGCGCGCAGACCTCTCCTGCCGCCCGCTGCTCCCCTCAGCAGTGTACTTCGGTCCTTCTGCCTGCTCTGCTCCCCGCTCTGGCTCTGGTGAATTCTCTCACCCTCCCGCGCTTCTGACTGTACCCAGTGATTGTATAAATCAATCAATCAATCTTGTATAAATAAATAAATAAATAATCTTAAAAAAAAAAAAAAAGCAGTGTTGTTATTGAGATGAAGCTTTGTAACCTGGCATTTATATTTGACTTTCAAATGTATAAAAATGTATTTTAAAGATTTTATCTACATTAAACTCATTTAATCCATATTTAACGCATACTCTGTAAATTGAGGATAATTCAATAAACAGTTGCTTACTTCATGATAATAGTGTATATAAGCAGTTAACATGATATAAATAAAAATCTGAATTATTTCATAAAATCCTGGGCTAGTACATGTGTTCACAATCAAGAACATGAAAACTCTTGCGTATTCATGGCATGCATGCAACTAAGTTATCCCAGTGTCAGTAGATAAACATGGTGATCAAAGTTTAATAAAGAAATTCATTGTTGACCACACTCTGTTTCCAAAACACATTCATTTTAAAAAAAATCCATTTTTTTTCTATTCATCAGTTACATACCTTTATTTTTTTCCTTAAAAAAATTAGTTGTGGTCAGAATTTTCAAGCAGAGTCTTAGCTATTTAAGGAAAAGTAGATGAAAAAGATATTGGCACTAGATGAAATAACTCTTTTGGCAATTCTTTAGTAGTTTCGGGATGAAAATAGTATTAAAACCAAGAAGTAAAGGTCAAAGTGAAATCTTAAACTGAAATTACTGAGGTAAAAGCTGCCAGAAAGATTCCTTCTTTGGGAAGCCAGCCTCCCTCTGCTTTCCTACCGTTGCTATTTGTAGTGACAGTAGGACGGCTAGTTTAGCAGCTGGGTGCAACAGGATACCAGACATCTGACTAAGGACTGATACCCAACAAAAAGAAGACAACAATAATAAAAAAGTCAGTAGAAAAAATAAACAGACATTTCTCCAAAGAGGACATACAGACTGCAAACAAGCACATGAAAAAATGTTCACCATCACTGATCATCAGAAAAATGCAAATCAAGACCACAAGAAGATACCATCTCACACCTGTGCGAACGGCCCACAGTGAAAAGACCAGAAACAAGAAGAGCCGGCGAGGGCTGGGAGAAGAGGGAGGCCTCCTACACTGCTGGTGGGAATTGAGACTGGTCCAGCCCTTGTGGAAAGCAGTATAGAGGTTTCTCAATATATATATAATTAGGTAGCTGTTTTCCTCTACCTGTATGTCTAGAGGCAGAGACTGTAATTATTAAAATAGTTTGTGTTCACCTACTATCATATTTACAAGTGTTTTTAGTACATACAACTTGATCATGATGGGAAAATGTGGATGCCTTCATATATTTGGAAAAAAGAATCACAGAAGGTGCCAAGGAGTGAGAATTGCGAAGTCTTGCAAACATACCTAATTACAAAAAATATCTAGCTGCAAAATCTACTTTTAACATACATGAAATAAAATTGCAAAAAGTTCTATCATTAAAATATTACTTTTTACAACTTAGAGTCTAGTTTATTAATTTATTAAAATATAAAAAAAACTATACACATACTAGTTGAAATTCAACTTCATGGAAATAATGTGTTATATTAATATTGGGAAATCTGAAATATGTGAATTAAAGCTCCAAGTTTAGTAAACCATTCATAGAAAGCCCAAAGTTTAGAAATAATGACAGTATTGAAAAACCTGAATAGCATAGTTTTCAAAATTCTATTTCATTCATCAATTTACAATCAAAAAAATTGCACATTCTTATTCTGTTAACAACTCTCAGACTTTATTTTTTTAATTTTCTCTGTTTCTAGAATCCTCTTAGTATATAACAAGTTGTTACACAGACTGATATGAAAGTACAGAGAAAGAGGCAACTTGCTCCCTTGAGTAATACATCAAAACAATCTTCCTTACTAAAATCAAATACATATCTTTCTGAAATACTTGCATTAATACAATTAGATATTAGTAAACAGCTATGTTAAAAAGACATATAATAAGCAATATGTTATGGTATAGTTCTTTAGGAGTCTGTAAATGAAATCTGCAAATACATACCAGATCTGTCTTTGGAAGATCTGGACACTCAGTAGAGAAATAAGGAGTGGAACTTCTGCCTCCGCTGCTGTCAGAAGGTGGTTTTGGAGGCTGGGCATGCTGTCTGTAAGTAGCACTTTTAGGAGTCCAACAAAACAGGTTGATTGATTCTCGCACACAGCGTTCTATGTCAATTTCTAGACAGAATATTAATAAAAGTCAAACATAAATTGAATTGCCCTTAAAATCCTTCGTGTTACACCTATCTTGAGTTAAATGAAGAAGGTTTAAATTACGCTTCAGAAAGGGAGAGATTAAAATTACAATCACTTGATTAAAATCATAAAATAAGAAACATTTTTATAGTTTTCTTTCTTTTCTCAAATTTGAAATTTAAGCACCTTTGATAGAGTGATATACATAGGAAGGTTATTACAACTCCCAATTATTTTTGTGTGTTTTATTGGACTATAGATCTGTAGGAGCTCAACATTTCCTGTGGTGCGTGAGCAGCTCCTGCCTGGGGAATGTGGAGACCGCAGAGAGACAGCAGAAATATAAACTGTTGCCTTGGATGAAGGAGTTGAGCACAGAATAGCTTTTCTCTTGCAATACTCCTAAGATCAGTAAATGGCAGATACTTTCATTTCCTCTATAAAAATCTCAGTGTGTCAGCTCAGAGATACAAAGGAGAATAATATAAAATATGCTATAAATAAAAAAGGGATAAAATTCCCCTTTCTTTATTAAACGAGGCACTGTATCTAAGGAAAAGGAAACAGCCACTGAAGTCAAGTCAATGGGTTTAGATCTGTCTGCTTTTAAAAGGTAGAAAACCCTTGGAGAAGGGAAGGGGAATGGATAGTTAATGAGCATCTATTACGTGACAGGCATTGTGTACTTTCAATTAGCCCCATTAATTTTTACAATGATTCTTGCAGACAGGTTTCAAAATCATTCTTGTTTTGTTGAAGATGAAATTAAGACATAAGGGAGCTACGTGACTTAATATGTTACGTGTGCTCTTAGGAGCAGTGTCTGAAATTTCTAAAGGGTTATAAGGGGTCTTTCATTACATAATTCATTTAGATTTGGGATATGGCCAGCAGGTCTGGAAAGACCGGTTACTCAAATAAGCATTCCTTTATCTGCTTTTAGTGATGTTTGTCAGTTTTACAGCTGGTTATTTCCATGGCTATACAGAGGTCAGATTTCATCACTCCCTATTCCATTCCTAACATAAAATCTATGAAACAGAGTTAAGTTTTGAGATGTAGGTCTATTTATCTAAGCAATGGTCAATGTAGTGGAATATGTTTTTTAAAAAGCTCTATGCCATTATAAACTTGGTATTTCATACATAGAGGAACACAAACCAGCAGAAGAATCAAGTCTAAGCTCGTCTATTCTGCTTCAGAAGGAAGAGATATTTTCGATTTGTTTTAGAAAATATCAAATTAATAGCGTTAAGATAAACATTTTCAGTTAAAGAGGGAAAACCCTGCCTTCCTAAAAAAGTTTATCCACTTAACACTGTTTAATTTCCAAAGGAAAAGAATTTTGAGCCATAGGTTTTGCAGCTGGAGTGTTCAAATTGGTCTGACACACTGTCATCCAGGAGAAGCTTGAAGTCAAGTCAATGATCCAGATCAGAGGTGGTAGTCAAGTTCTTTAATCACTGTATCTGCTTCCAAAACAACCCACTAATACCATAAAAGGCTGACAATGATCTTGAGAATGTTCTGGCGTCCACCCCATTCCACCCTGATGATTGGTACTGGCAGATTTCCCATTCTCCATTCACTTGACCCGTGTCACCTCTCCATCTCAAAATCCCTCCTAAGCACTTCATCATAACCAAAATATTATGCTAAAGTATTTCACAAACTGTATGTTAAAATATGCAATAATTCTTAAAAAGTAATCTCTCTTCCTAGGGCCTGGCTGTCTTCTAGCTTGCACGAGAATTTTGATATATAAAGTTTTGGAAATAAAGCATGTGCCCTGGATTATGGTCTACCAGGTTGGACTCCAGGCTCTCTGTGGTACTTTGTGACTCTAAGAGAATAAATATCTCTAAATCTCAGTTTCTTTATTCACATCCATTATTATCATAGCTCTCAGATATATTTAACTATTTTCAAAATGATAAAACACATCTAATGTTCCCTTTGGGCGACAAAAGGTTGAGGGGCCATCTCTCCTGAAGTTCCCAGTTGTTTCTGGGAGGTAGGTGAGGAGTAAGTAGGGGGACAACAGGACACAAATAAGTGGTTTGTGTATCCAAACCATAACCACAAGACATAGCTTGCTTAAATGATTGAAGACAAGATGCTGAGATAATGTTTTATATTTAAGACAGGTTCAAATTTTTAAAAAGTCAAGTTCTTATTCACTGTTCACTGAGAAAGGGCTGACACATGTGGAAAGTAAAGAAATGGCCAACATTTCACCTTAGGGTTTGGTCTGACAGCAGGATTTGTCCCAATTCTAACTAAAATTGAGCTTCCTAGGACGTCAGAACTGAATTGCTGAAGCTACTAGGTTGAACCCTTTGAAACTAAGACATTCAATTGCTTCACCCACAAAAATCTGCTTTTCTAAACAAATAACACCTTCATTTGTATAGTAAAAAAAAAAAAAAAACAAAAACAATCAGGATTTGGTCCAAATGCCAGTTACTCACATAAAATCATGAGCAATTCAAAACTCACTTTGTCTCAGTTATTTTAAGAACAAAATGTAGGTAATAAAGCATTCTTCACAGTAACAGATAAGAGAGAAATACCATATAAGTATCATAATAGATGCTGACAAAAGGTGACAAAGTTCAATATCTATTCTTCACAGAAACTTAGTAAACTAGGAAAAGAGGGAAACTCCCTTATTCTGGTAGGGTAGTGTGGAGTCACATGTTAATTGCTCAATTACATGGTATCATTTTTACACTAATAAAAACTTTAGAACATTTGAATAAAGTCATTAATGTCCAAAACCATAAAGGAGATCTGAAACCTGTTAACCTACTCTCCTCAACAACTATTTTTTTTGACACAGAGAACTTATTTACAAAAAGAGTATGACAAATATTGATTTGTATTGATTCTATTGATTCTAGGTATTCTATTGATTGTAGATATTGGTATTGATACTATTGATTCTAGGTATTCTTATTTTTAATTTATGCTATATATATCTTTTTTTTAAGATTTATTTATTTATTTATATAAGCACTGGGTACAGTCAGAAGCACGGGAGGGTGAGAGAATTCACCAGAGCCAGAGTGGAGTACAGAACAGGCAGAGTGATGAAATACACTGCTGAGGGGAGCAGCGGGCGTGGCAGGAGAGGTCTGCTCACCATGTGGGACCCTCGCCGGCTGCCGGGGATCGAACCGGCACTGCAGAGTGTGTGGGCAGCTTCGCAGGCCAGCATTCAACCGCTGTGCCACCAGGGGAGGCCCCGATTCTAGGTATTCTAATTACTGTTCTATCATTATAAAAAACAGCCCAAAAATAATACAAAGGAACACTCACTGCTGAAACAGTGAGAAAAGTATAAAGTTGCTTACCTTACTGTAGGGTAAGGTAAAAGGTATCAGGCTTTTCTGCCCTCCTGCCATCAGGATAGATGACGGAACCCTGCGGTCCTGAATGCATGCCTGATGGCGGGCACCTGGAATAGGGTGTGGGCATAGGTAGATGGGATTCGACTGGGCTTTTGAGGGCGGTGTCACAGGGACGCCAGCAAAAGCCGAGAGAGAAGCAAGAGAAGCAGAAGCCGAGAGAAGGCCGGAGAGCCCAGAGTGAAGACCTGCTGGGGGCTGGGAGGCCTGCCAGCCTACTGGCCCCCCAGTGCCCCTGCCTGCCGTGTACCTGGTAATCCCAATAAAAACCTGCAAGACCACTGAGGACTTTGACTCCTCCTTTACCCAGTCTGCTGGATCATAGAATACCTGAACTGTGTCCAGTCCTGACCCTACACTTACCAACAGAAAAACAGGTACATGGGTAAAATATGAATATTAGGCAGCATTCTCTGCAAGGCAAACTGTAAGGACATTACTGGGACCTCTAGCACCACTGAATGTGTTGGGTGCAGTATATTACGGTGGGTAGCACCACGCCCACTCACCAATCCCTAGTTTGTTCTCACACCCCACCTTAGAGAAAGTACAGGAATGCACCCACATACCTAATGTCCCACTGGATTCCAAATTCTATCGATTCTATAGAGTAGTTCTGAGGGGGAAGCTGAATCCCCTCCTGAAAAATTAAGGCTCATAGGCACAAGTCAGTCATGTAACTTACTGGCACCAGGAGGTAATGCTGCATATAATTAAGAGTGTCAGCTACAGTTACGGGTATCATTTGGTCACCTTTAAATAATTATGCAAGAATGCTCTGGGCCAGTGGAAAGAAATTATAAACCAGTAATAATATTAATTATTAATTATACACATACATATATACACAAACACTCGTGTATATATACACCCATTCCTAGTAAGAAGTCAACATATATTTGTTGACTGACTAAATGAATAAATTAAAAAAAAATAATCTGGGTTATGAGGCCTAAGGGGAAAGGCTGATCCATTGTCACTGGGTGCCTACTTTAGTCAACTCTGCCTTTCAAATCCATGATACTTGCATGTAGCTACTGGCACTTTTCCTAAGCATCTATCATCTCTGTTGCTTAATGCCTACAATGAAGTGAGAAATAAATAGGAAATGCAATGAGCGTGACAGACATATGGATATTTAAGCTGTTTTCTATTCTTAACATAATTGTCTTTATAATCTGGCAGCTGAGTAGGTAGCTACTATGAGGCAAAGCAGCTGGTGTTGATAATGGATCAGAGCAGTGCTTGGATGATTTAGCACCAGCTCAGTAGCTGATGGCATTTTCTCTCTTTTTTTTTTTTACACTGAGTAGTGAATCCGAAACAAAACAGAAGTCTGATTTTTTTTGGCAACTAGAACCTTCAAGTTCAATAAGCATTCTTCATATGACTGATAATAATTTGTACTGAAGGATTTAACTGGTTTAAATTTTCAAGGTAGTTAAATGTAGTTTCTTGTAATTAAGGGAAATTCTAGTTATTTTTTCAATATTACATAACATTAAACATCCAGCCTATAAGCACACTGGCATAGTATTCTTCTTTTTCTCTAATCTACTCCCAGTTTGTCTT